ACACACACACGTACACACGTACACGCACACGCGCACACACACGCACACACACACACACAGTCACACACACACACACACACACACACACACACACACACACACACATAAACAAACATACACGGTCCCATGTTTGTTTGTAGGGGAAATTAATGCGACATGCACGAACGCGTGGACACAGCAGCTCTGTGTATACTACCGTGTGTGGGGGCGTGTGACAATGTAGCAGCGAGTAACATTCAGCAGCATCAGCAGCAGCAGCAGCAGCAGCAGCAGCAGCATCATCATCAGCAGCAGCAGCAGCAGCAGCAGCATTAGTAGCAGTAGTAGTAGCAGGAGTCTATCAATATTGATAGACTCCTGGTGGTAGTATAGTAGTAGTAGTAGTAGCAGTAGCAGTAGCAGTAGCAGCAGCAGCAGCAGCAGCAGCAGCAGCAGCAGCAGTAGCATGTAGAGCACAGTACCACACACTATATACGTATATAGACTATAACTAACTACATAGTCGCGGTGCTCGGTTGCCGTACCAGGCGCCGCATCGTGCGTCTAGGCCGCACGCGGGTCTTAACGGGGGAATCCCGAGCTTTCTGCCTTGCCCGTATAGCGAACGATACTCATGTGGATTAGTGGGTCAGAGTAGCAGCACTCTCGCCTGCTCGCTGACCGAGAGCTACGACGTAGTAGAGCGACGTCCGTCAGTGCGAATACTTTCTACCTGTCGTGATCGGCGACCCAAAACTCGCGCACGAGCAGCGATATCGGTTAGCTTTGCTCATCAGTGGAGCATGAGCATTGATTACTCGGAGCAATTTCGATCGTTCAGCGCCGACGTTGCAATGAGTGATAGATAGCTCGAGTGTCTTGCCACCGAATGGCACAGCGTTCGATCCCCGCTAACAGAAGCACCACACTCTCACCTACTTTCTACACTAATCTGCCGTTGTTTTGTTGTGCCGAAGTTTCTGTGCGCCTGCTTTGAAATAGAGAATTAAACTCTAAAAATAGAGAATTAAACTGTGCGATAACGTAAGAGCTTTGAACATATATATAGAGAGGTTGGTAGAACGAAGAAAAACGCCAAGTTGCCTGCATAAAGTCGATAGCGTAAACCCAGTTGTTAGTTATCGTGAGAGATTTCTATCAGCGCGTGGTATATCTGATGACGTGTGCACATTCCTGTCATACATACATGATCGTCTGCCTGCGCGTGCTGCACGCACGACGACGTAACACAGGAAGCCGCTAGCTGATAATGATATTCCGCGCGCGTGCAATGATGTCACAGTCTGCTGGCCATCCTCTTTCTTTCTCTCTCTCTCTCTCTCTCTCTCTCTCTCTCTCTCTCTCTCTCTTTCTCTCTATCTATCTCTCTCTATCGATCTCTCTCTCTCTCTTACTCGCTCCCATTTTTTCTTCTACAATGTTTCTATGTGCATACGTGCGTGCCGCGTGCATG